AATAAAATTGTGAATTATAATAACAGCAGGACATATAAAATTTCATGGGATGCTGGTAAAGTGGTAATTAGAGGATAATTTTTAGCTCTGGATACATGTATTTTAAAAATCAACTATATATTCAGAGGAGAAAAGCAATGAGAGTTGGAGAGCTCAGAAGAGTGGGAGCTGCAGAACACAAACATCAGCTAAGTAGTCTTCCAAGGGCAGCACTTTGGAATCTGTTGGGACCCCAGTCCCTCATGTGAATTAGATGTGTTGTTTGTGGCCAAGTCACTTAATTTCTCTAAGTCTTATTTATTTAACTGTAAAATGGGGGTAACAATTATCTTCCTCTCTGAGTAGGTTTGAGAATTAGTTGAGATAGTGCACAAAAAGCACCTTTATCATCCCTTCCAACTCCCAGATTCCATGATTCTGACATTGGGGGCACAATGAAATACACACTGATTTCCTGCCACAAAAATCTAACCAATAAATTAAATCTTCATTTTCATTTCACCATACTAAGAAAGCTTTGTTTAAAATGCATTTGGAGCTAATATTTTCTTCGCATTATTAAAAAATAAAAACTTACAATGATCAACAAAAGCAGACATATTGTTATTCATAATCTTTTCATTTTTCTTTTTTGCTGTGCTAGGGATCAAATCCAGAGAACCAGGCATGTTAGGCAAATGGTCTACCATGGAGGTACATCCCCAGCCCTGAATTCATAATTTGACTTGTATTTTAAAACTAAGATGAAAGAGGAAAAAGACTGACAACAGTAACACTGTAAAAAAAAAAACAATTATTTCCAGAATATTCTATATACTATATTCTATACACTATATATATTCTATATTCTATATACTGTACCTTTCTATATTATCTATAATATTATATATATTATACGTTTATACAGTGCACCTTTCAGATAAGACAGGAAGTTGATAATGACCACTATTGGTACTTTAACAAATTTGCAATTTCTGACAGATTTATCAACAAGTTCTCTTATCCAAACATAGTTATAGATAGATCTTTACTTTTCTAATTTTTTTCATTTTTCTAGAGAATAAGAATCTTTTTTCATATTACACAAATATAGCACAATTTTTCATGTCTCTGGTTGAACAAAAAGTAGAGTCATACCATTTTTGTTTTCATACATGTACTTAGGGTAATGATGTCTGTCTTATTTCACCATCTTTCCTACCCCCATGCTCCCTCCCTTCCCCTCCTTACCTTTGCCCTATCTGAAGTTCATCTATTCCTCCCATGCTCCCCCCATCCCCATTATGAATCAGCATCCTTATATCAGAGAAGACAATAAAAATCTTTTAACCTTCAACATCCTAATGCAAAAATAAGCTCTAAATACATTTTTAGAATACAATATACATAATAAATAATACATGATTACAGATGAGAGGTTTCTTCTAATATAAATTTTAGAAGAATTTTTCTTCTAAAAATTTTTATTTTTTCTCTTTCTTCCAGAAGGAGTCACTATACTCTGTTTATAGAACAATCACTTTCCCCAACCCATCTTTATTAAAGAAGAATTTATACATAGGGATTCTTCATTATGCTAATAAAATAACTCTACTGACACATTAAAATCCATTGTAAATTTTGGACACTGAAAACAATCAGATCTGATCTTCTGTATCCTCTGGCTTTCGTACAGTTATTGTATTCAGTACTGCCTACTAAAAGTTTTTTCTTCAGTATGGCAGAAACTTTGCTTTTAATCTGAGAATCCAAATGTTGCTATTTGTTAGCAAGTTTCCACTCCTGACCATGGTGCTATGCCCTCTTGTGTGTCTCTTGGACTGTGGGCATTTGCAAAGGAAAAGGAGATGGAATTGAGATTAGGTAGCAACATGCCCTCATTTTTATGCATGGCTTAGCCTGTAACTTTGATTTTCATTTTTTGCTGTGCACCTGGCCAGGATTCTGTATTCTTCTAGATCTCTTTGTAGTTTTCACAAAGGCGTGACTCAAAACACGACATGCTCTGTGGTTATTGCTTCTCATTATTTAAGTTATGGGCAGATGGGTCAGACTGTGTGTCCTTCTATAATTGTGATTTTAGGAAACTGTTCTGACTGGAGGTGGAAGACAAAAAAACTGAAAACATTTTAACATTTTCTAATAAAGGTAAAATTCCAGAAACCTGAAATAACTGTCACTACAGAGCAAATTAAGGGAAAATATAATTTCTTCTTGAAGAACTGCCTTAGCTATCTTCCCAGCAAATGGAGAGAATGACTTTATATTTGTTCAATTGCCTACTCTCTACAATGAGACTGTGAGGTCCATAAGGACAGGAACCATGCCCACTTTCTTCAGTGCATAATTCACTTATAACTTATACAGTTCCTTGGCATTACCTTGAATCTCTAAAAGAAAAGTATTGCTAAAATAATGAATACATAGCATATCAAGTGCTACAATTTTCTGTAATGATAAATCCAAATAAATAGGATATAAAGTTTACTCAAAGTTTTAACATCTTTATAGCCCTCTCTTTAATTTCACAGGAAATGTACATATCTTCAATTTTCAGGGAGAGAAAAACAAACATTGCTCATGCCTGTTATACATCAGGCACTCAGGCACCGTATTAGATTCAAGGCTGTGAAGAAACTCAAACATCATCCCACGATCAAATTTTTAACATGTAAATAGATTTATTCCTGTCTCTACTGATTTCTCTATAACTTTGGGATTTTTTTTTAACTTTCATGCACAGAACTAAAGATCAAAATTGATTCAGTAAGAATTTAATTTTACTTATACAATTAGCCCTCTCTTATGAGAAACCTTTATGGAACAAAGTTTTTTACTTTGGAATTTTCCAGATACTAGGTTTACCTCTTTCAATACCATTTTGTTTTGTAGTTTTTTTTTTCCTTTTCCTGGCAATGGAACCCAGGGCCTCACGCATGCTAGGCAAGTGCTCTACCATCAACACAAACTTTTTAAAAAATTTCAATCCTTTTTAATAAAAATATTTTAAACATAGTATCTGTATCTTAGGCCAAATATCTAGAACATAAATATATCTTTTTGGATAATATTGATAAGGACAACAGAGTTGTTAAGAATGGAGCTTCCAGAACTAAACCACCTAAGTATAAATCCTGGCACTACTACTTACCAGTTGTGTGATCTTAGTTAACTTTCCTAAGTCTCAATTTCCTTATCTGGAAAATGAGGATAATCCTAATATCTAGCTCTTGGGGCTGTTCTAAGAATGAACATTTGTATGAAATGAACAGGTGCAAGACACATAGTCAGTACTCAGTAAATGCTAGCTTTAAAAGTTTTAATTTATTCAGGTCCTGAGCTCTTAGCAGGGAGTTCTGGCCACTGCTCTCTATAATATAAAGTAGCCCCAGACTGTTATATTTTTTAAAATGCTTATATAAGTTTTACTTAAAGATTTTTTTCTATGTAACTTTTAAATTATTTTCCTGATTTTTACCTTATGTCCTTTGTTAATTGGTGCCTTTATATTACTCCCTCTTCTAATTTGAAGCTTTATTCTATTGTGTGCTGAGAAACCAAACCACTGTGGTGGTTAGAAATTTGTAAGAGGATTCCCCCAGTGAAGGCCTCAGGGACTCTCTCATGAATAAAATGCATAAATGTTAAATGAAACTCAGCGGCATTTATTTCCACTTAGAGGTCTTTCTGGCTTACTTATTGTGTTCTCACCTGTGTTTGGGAAAGTTAGAAATACCAAATAAGTGACCTATGGATTAATGAAGCACTATTGTTCTAATTCTGCCAAGCATTAGATTAATCAAAACCAAAGAAGGGTTGGTTTCTTCATGTTTTGCACTGTTAATTTTCTACAATCATTAATCAGATACCTAGATAATTATTAAGCTTTCAATTCAAACAATGTTTTTTAGCGTAATTCCTGGACCAATATCGATCTACTATTAAGAAAGTATGGCTCTTCAAAAGGGCTAAATGCAATAGCAATTAATGGATAAAGTAAAAAGAGAGAGTAAATGGGAATTATAAACTCATGAAATTTAAAAGAAAAAGAAATGGATAGATTACAGATTAATAAAGAGAATAATAATAAGGAATAGTTTGCCAACTTTATTTCTCATCTCTAAAAGAATCAGTTTCTAACTTAATATTCAGTTTAGTAGAAACTTTACCTTTTCCCCCACTGGAAAAGTACAAGTGGAATTCAAATAAGAAAACCACGCACAGCCATGATGATCAAACCTTCTGCTCAAGTGGCCAGATGCCAGAAGAGGCATAGCAATCTCCCACCCTTGGGAAATTTGAGCCTGAGCCAGAAACTGGCAACCACCAGGCCAAAATCTGTATATTTGTATATCTTTTTAAAAATGCATGTCTATTTTGCATTTCACTTTTATATACTGTTGTATTTTTAAATTTTAAAAAATGTTTATAACAGTTGAATACCTCCCATTCCCAAAAATTCAAGTAAAATTGATGCTTCAGGAAGATTTGCATTATAGCTCTTGTGGCTTTCCCTTCCCCTTGATACTACGATGGTCAGGGGCATGGGAACACCAGTGAGATGATACCTTACACTATAATGGACTCAAGATTCTCAAATGATACACAATAAATTAATAATCAAATTATCATTAAATGAAAGCTCCATTCTCATGCACCTCAATGAAGCTAAGAAATCCAAAAGAATAGTAAGCTGGGCCCTGCAATCTTAAAATGCCCTCATAGCTTTTGAGCTACCATTATTATAAAAAGATCAATAATGATGTCTTCCTGCTCCAATATGGAATTAGTGTTTCCCTAAATACATTAACTTCAGGAGTATTGAATTACCCAGGAGGATCAGCACCACAATGAAACAAATAGTTGTTCTTTGCAAATCTGTGATTACCAATACAGAGAGCCCACTGAAGGATGCTGGATAGAAAATGACATAAAGCAAAGACCGCAGGACAAAAGGTAACCAAGTCTGGTCACCCCAAATTCAGAAAGATGAAACTCACCCTCATCTTGATAATCTGAAGAAAAGGGTGCATCTGATGTGAGAGACAGGCCATGAGTCCCACTCTGATTATCATCAGAGCTGTCCTGTCCAAGGTCTCCTGAGGGACAAAAAAGAAAACAAGGTCATCCTTTGGACATATTTATAAAGGTGTTTGTAGATCTCTCTTCTGGTACTTATAAAAATGATGCATCTTTTACTTGATGAACATGGCCACTCTCCCCTAACATATGAGAAATAGATAAATAATTTCAAGAACCAACTTACCTGGATGGGAAATTTTCCATTCAAGTAATTCCCTCAATAGAACCAAGGAACTATTAGCTTAGAGTGGGAAGACTTCTTGCCACCAGAGAGAATTTCTCCATCACACTTAAAATGAAAACAGAGCTGTATAAATTAGTATATTTATATACTCTGCCTCTGTTAATCAGAACCTTTATCTGATGGCCTTTTTCTCTATTTCCAAATGAAATAGAAGTAATGACACAAAGGGTTAACCTCCTATATAATGTAGCAAGGTCAATATTCTTTTCTTCTCTGAAAAATAAGAGACCTAAGTAAGCTCAGAGAGAGCCTAGACTTTGCTGGATTCTATTCCTATTTAAATCACTACTTGTTTTGCAACCTTAATAAAGTTCTCTCTATGTAATTCTAGTTTACAGCCTATGCAGCCAACCTCTTAGGAATTCTAAAAGCCCTAAGAAGGTAATATTTGTTCTGCAAAATGACTTTGATAAAAGGTAATGTATATACAATACTGAATTATACAATTAAAACAATGCTAATCCCTTTTGGGTGTTTTCAACCTACATTGAATTGTATTTTGTAGAAGTGGCCAATGCCATTATGATACTTTAAAAGGTTCAGACGGAAGATGTTAGCTCATTCAGAAACCGGAAGAAAAGGAAAGCGTTGCAAATGGCTTTCCTTAAAATCCCCCAAACAGAGGTACAGTCTGCTGATAAAAGGACACCGACAGCTGCTTAGTTCATTTCACAAGCATGAAAAAAGGATTTTAAACCGAATTTAATATTATCTCAAATACTAATTTCCAAAGGAAATCACCAATGCTAATCTCAGTAAACACTGTAGAGTTCTGGCCCTGGATTCCAACTAGGGAGCAGTGAAACCAAACAACCTACATAGAATCTGTATTGCCTCGCTTTAAAGGTTTATTTCCTACAATTAAACTAGAAGGATAGGGAGGACATAAAATGATAAAAAAAAAACAAAAAGAAAAAAAAGAAAGCTGAAGCTTCCTCCTTCCTTAAATTAGATGATTATACCTACACTTTTCCTCGAATGCTCAGTGGTAGGTAGATGTCCATAACTGAGTTGAACACCTGCAGATAGAGGACTTTAAAAATAAACTGTAGAGTCTATTGTAAAAAAAAAAAATTAATCCCACACTACAGTCATTAGCTGAAGTCAGAAGAGATGCTCACTTTTATTTGTTCACTGACCAGAACATAAAACATACAGTTAGGCTTAAAGCATCACTGTAAGCTTGCTATAATAACTGAGAAAAATCCCAAATGCCAGACAGAGGGTAAAATGCTCAAATTTTATATCACTGCAAATCCACTGAAATCTAATTATCAGTATGACTCTCTGACTGGAAACCTGAAGGTGAGATGCAAAGCTAGAAAGAATTTTTGTTTTGAACCTAATCAAAATCCTTAAAAAAAAAAAGTAGTTTAGATTGCAAAGAAAAATTTGACATTTGTAATATATATGAAACATTATTTATTAACTATCATTCTTGACTAAGTTTTTTTTTTCCAGGAACCTGACAAATCTACCAACAAAGAAAAAGAACCTATGCTTACACATTCTGGCATTTATTCTAAGTTTTTTTTTAAAAAAATGAAGACCAGGAAGGGCTTTTGTTGTTCCATTGTGTTATGTTTTCTAATGAAGTTTTTATTTTGGAATAAATTTTGATTTATGTAAGTGTTGCAAAGATAGTACAAAGAGTTCCCATATACTCTTCAATTTGTTCCCCCTAAACTCATCTCCTTCTACAACTAAAGTATATCTATCAAAACCAAGAAGTTAACGTTGCTACATTGCTGTTAACTAAATTACAGGCTTTGTATTCATTTTGTAAGTTCTTCATTCATGTCCTTTTTCTATATCAGATCAAATTCAGGATATCACACTGCATTTATAGCTCACTTTAAAAAAAAAAAAAAGAAAAGTCTCACCCAAAACCTGCCTGGATTTGGCACTTGATTTATTAACTTCAGATGGAAAAGTCACTGCCACGTGATTCCTATGGTTTTTGAGTACAGTTATCCAAGACGGACCTGTGTGCCAAATGCCAGACTGTGCCCCTATAAAGTATGCGACGAGGAAGGAATACAACACCAGGTAGCGAAACAGAGCCTAGGTCAGTACTACAGATGGTTGTGGTGGGAGAAACATTTTAAAATATGCCTTACACCCAAGCACAATTAGTTCCTGATGATGAAGATGTTGTTATAAGTGCTTTTAGTGTCATATCAAGTGGCCCAACTCCCTTGGGCTCACACAGCAACTAGTCTATAACACAGTATAAATAGACACTCCCATGTAATTAAAATGATTACAACTACTCAAGATGCATGGGTGAAAAGTTTTATAGAAGAACTGGCAATTACTGTGGTCATTTTGGATTTGCTTAAGTTTAGAGCATCATTTTTCCTTAAAATATAACTGTGCATGTTCTCTGAATTCATCTGTACCTCTGACAATCACAGTTCCAAGTGGCCACGACTGTAGTCCAGTGGGATCAGACATAAATGATCACAAACTATAGTGACAGACATTTCCACTCAGCAGCTCTACAATTAGGGCTTTGAACTCCATCTGCTTAGAGTGCCTCTCTCACAAGCAAGACCCTCTGCCACTGGAGACACACTTCCACGGCAACTCGCTCAGAATCAATATATTTCTATACAGGTATATATTCTAACACACCGTATCTCCATTAATCACATCCACTACCTTCAGCCTTTCTCTTTGTATTTCTAAACAAGATCCGAGGAAACTATATCAAGGGTTCACCTGCTATTAGCTGGTAATTTGTTCCTCTATCCAAAGTGTCATAAGAATTGGGCGCTAGATACACTCCTTAGTAGATTCAATGGCAGGTTCTCCACTGAGTAGTGCTGAGGGGCCCATAAGGGGGATGATTTCTCTATTGTTCTTTTCTGGGAGTCAAACTTAATTTCATTCATGCTCCGTAGAGTGATAAGTTGGGAATTTCTGAGGGTTGGAGCAGAAAGATAAAACAGCTTTGTGTCAGGTATAAGGTAATTATTTGCCAGGGTTTCTGTGCTATTTGTTTTTATTCCCTGTGTTTTCATTAACAGTTAATGAGTTTTCCCCCTTAATTCTGAAACAATAGCGTGGCCACTAGAAGTTGGCTTTTTCTGCCATGGATTCAACCAGCTGTTGCTGCTCCATAAACTTTATGGAGAAGTGAATTAAACTGCTAAAAACTTTCATTTACTAATTCAATTCCAAATAAAACAAGGGAAAATGAACCATAATGTGAGTATTCTGACTCAAAGTAAACCCATCTACTCCTGAACTTGCAGGTACTACTTAGGGACAGAAACAGGGCATAATGACAAGTGTACCAAAGAAATGGAAAAAAAAAAAAAAGAAAGAAGTTTAAGCATTTAAAAACTACAACAGAATATAAGAACAAAAATAACATTTAAGACATACAAATATGTTTGCTTATTCAATATGTAAAGCAATTTTCTAATGTTGGTATAAGCCATCACTTTTATTTCCCTTCTAATTAATTGTTAGCTATGTTATAAAGACTCTATTCATACCTGCAACTATTTATATAGTATGGTTAGAAACTTTCCAGGGTTTGCTATTACTTCACCACATCTCATTAGATAATATAAGGAAAATGAAATTAATATAATTAGTTAATTTGTAATCTTTCAATTAATATAACATTGTCTGAACATTTTTCTATTTTTATTTTATTTTTTATTATTGTTACTGCAGTTGGAAGGGAACATGAGACTTTCTACTCTGATATTTAAGAATCCATGAGACACAGAGCTTCCTCTTTAAACTAATAAATCCTCACTAAATTCCTATAAATAAAACTCCCTGATCCAAATCCAGTTAGTTTTCATGCTTGATAGCATTAATATTGCCAGATTTTCATGGACCAATTTAATAGTAATGCAGTTCTCAAAGCTGAACTGTAGTAAGATTAGCAAAATGACAGCGTATTATTCTTTATTATAACCATTTGTCTAAGTTTTTGAATCTAATCCCAACTAAAGAAACATGTAGGTACACACGTGGCCATATATGTGAAATGTTACTTACATGTAAATACATCATAGAGCACATTTGCAACACCAAAGCTAAAGCTCTGTCAATACTTCCTTTATAAATTACACACCATTTTTGCACATACTCATGCACTAGAAAATGTATGGTGTTTCTCACAGAACATCTCAGAGGCTTCAATGATTTCTAAATATCCACTTGGATGTGCGTGGTTAGTTCTTGTGATTAATCCATGTATAGTGAAGGTCTCAAATTTTTCTCTGTTCTGTGCAGTCTTTCTGCCCATATTCCCCTCCTTCTAAAGCTATCCATAACTCAATGTTTAAATATTCTCTTTTTTTCCCTCAAGGCCCTAGCAGTAAGTATAATAGTGCTGAATGTCATTAACCCTACAGAACAAATGATAGGCCAGGTAAAGAAAGTTTTCATTTATCATTTTTTAAAAAGTTGCTCCAACTAGATCTTGAATGTACGAGACGTAAATTGTGCCTAAGATTAACTATGCTAGCTTATGACACTGTTTACTGATTATACAATTATACTAAGGAAAACAGACTTCTTAAGAACCTTCAGAGATAACATTTTCAGAGAATTGTACAGTATAAACGATCAGAAACTGAACCAAACTGACAGACACTCAAAGTACAATCACTACAACAGAACCTGTGATTCTAACAACCAAAAGCTATGTAGCAATAGCTTAATAATATTCTCATATGGACTACATCTGTCAGTGTTGGATTGGAGAGGAAATCACCTGTGGGAGTCCATTGAAAAGCACCCCCC